AAAGTGGAAGACAGCGTAGTAGCAGTAGTAGTCGTAGTAATAATAATAATAGCTAATATTTATTGACTGCTTACTCTGTGCCAAACGCTAAGCATTTTATATGCATCACTTCATTGAGTCCTCCAAGATCCTGCATTTTACAGACGAAGACATTAAAATTTAAGAGAGCATAAGAAACTTACTTAGGTCATACAACTAGTCATTGATAAAACCAAAACTCTAATTCAAGACCTTTATACTCCTAACCACTATGCTATAATGTCTTAATACAAAGCCAAGTTAAAAGAAGCATGGAAAGGAAACCTAGGTGAAGTTTCCTATGCAATACTCTTAAAATGTTTAAGAAAAAAAAAAAAAACCTAACATTATATACATGCTAAAATCTTCTGCCAGTATTTTGAAGTCTCTGGCTCAAAACACGACCTGGTGGGAGGTGGTCAGAATCAGAAAGGGTCTACTCTTTACGAGGAAGACTTCAGCAAAGAACAATTAAAAAGAGCTGAGAAGATCTCTGAAAAAAATTAGTTCACATATAATCTTCCCCCAAAAAGCAAATAGAATTGATTTGACTAAAATGTTGTAAAATAGGAAAAATAATTACACTCAGTAATCCAATTACTGCTAATATAGCTAATAGAGTGGTATTTAGGGGACATCAAGATGTAAATTCAGGAAATATTAAAGCCAGGAGTTATTAGAACTTCTAGTGGCCTTCATTAGTTCTGGTTCCAAAATAGGACCATAAAATTAGATTCTGTGTCAATTATAAAAAATAACCTGCTAACCCATAATACTCCTTTGCTTAGAGTTGAAGCACTATTACTGGAATTTGGAACTGCTAAGATCATCTCAACTATCAATTTGTTTAAGTTCCAACAAATAGGTATTAGGAGAAAATTAGATGCATCATTTGGCATTCTTTGCAACAGAAGCAACAGGAAAACCAGGCTTGACCACAGAGAGGCAGGATTGTCTACAGAACACAATTATAATCATCTGATCAGGACACAGGCATTGGAATAAATGAACGCCAACTAGTTTTAGTCTTTTTATCCCTCTGCTCAAGATTCAGATTCCAAGGAGGGGGCAACCAATTGGCCTAGCTTGCATCACTAGTCCTCCTCTTGGGCAGAGAAGAAAGCCCCTGCAAGTCCCACCTGATTACATCTAATGAAGAAGAAATTCCTCAAAAGGTAATGTTTGGAGGGGGAAATGGATGCTGGATAGAAAACAACAGTACACACCCCTGCCCTTATAACCCTTAGCACTTGGATTGAGGAGTATTCCTGCCTCTTCCCAATGAGCAATCCCACCTGCAAAGATGCTGAACGTTTGGCTGATGGACTCTGAAGCAGACTAAGAGAAACGATCATAAGCCACATGAAGATTGCTCTATTTGATCAGAAGTAGAAGATAAGGGACATCTCAGATAGGTTCTAGGAGCAATCCATTCAAGTAAATCTGTGATATAATATGTAAAAAGCCAATATGGACTTCCAGAAGTCAAATAACCAAGACAGGAAAATGAGAAAAATAAATTCCCATAATCAACAAAAAAGCCATGTGCCTCATTTGGAAAGCAAACGGGTTATTACCAAAAGTTTGTTGCTCATTCATGGCAACAATTTGGTCCACTTTTAATTGATTTGGAATAAAACAGACGCCTGATGAGATGATCAGCTCACAAGGTCAGGAAACTTTTGAAAAAATAAAACAGGCTGTGAATTATTTAAGAGTTCTGAAAAGACCCAGGCTTTTCAAACCTTTTTATGGTATCAGGTGACACATCAGTTACTGATTTGGGGATAATTTTATTACAAGATCATGATAATGTAAAACATTCTGTAATATACCCCAGTAGAAAATGATTGCCAAGGGAAAGAAATTTATTTATCTTCTTTAAGAAAAGAAGGTTTGGCAATGATTTGAGCCATAACATCGTTGTTTATGAGAGTGCCCTGAGGACTGATCATTAAGCCTTAACACTTGGATAAAAACTACCACTGAGGAGCAGAGGTGGCTATGGAAGATTTCAGAACTTCTAAATAAATATTCAACATGTTCCTAGTTGGTGAAAATCCTTAAGGAGGACCCCTCATAAAAAGTAGAGCCTTTAAATGCATCTCAAGAGTCTGTCCTAAGAGAACATTATACTTGTAACTTTTCCTAAGTTAAAATAGTTTCTCTTAAGAAATAAAAGAAAAAGATACACAAAGAAAAGAACATGAAAACTTCAGACATCCCACATCCCCAGTATGGTCTCCATTCTTAGTGGTAGGAAGATAGAGACATAACAGGGGAATGGGCATGTTACGACAGTATAAAGACAAGATCGAGGGGCTGGCTCTGTGGTGTAGTGGTTAAGTTCCCACATTCCGCTTCAGCGGCCCAGGATCAAGGGTTCAGATCCCGGGCACAGACCTACACCACTCGTCAAGCCAAGCTGGGGCAGCAACCCACATACAAAATAGAGGAAGATTGGCACAGATAATAACTCCCTCACCAAAATAAAAATAAATAAATACAGACAAGATTGAGTCATAATAAAACAAAAGAGAAAATTCCAGGTTTTTCTCTCTCCAGGCTCTGAAAGTCCACGAGATCAATCCTGAGAGAAACAGTTCTAATGGAAAGATAAGCTTTATTTGCCACAGAAATAAGACTGAAGTACCAATGTCCTCCAAGCATTAGACAGTAACTAGTGGCCACAGAAGCATCTGCTGAGAAAATGGATCTGAACACACCCCAGAAGTCTTCCAACAAAGATCAGACACCACTTGGCCTTGTCAGCTGAAACTACCCAACACTGCCATCAAACTTCATTCAAAAGCTGGAAATTCAAATTTAATGAGGCTTTTCTCTCACACTGCCAGGGCAGACTTCCCCACCTCGAACACTGATAGCCTCTGCCTATCCAAAATCCTTAGACTTCCTATGAACTAGACTCTGCTTTCTCTCTGGTCTCACCTCTTACCATCCTCTCCTGACACCCTCCTCTCCTCTTTGCCATTGCATCTAACATTCTGTCACACTGAATGACCCCTGGAACTACAAGTATTCGATGACCTTTCTAGCCTCAGGACCTTTGCACGTGTTGTTCTCTCTCCCCAGAATGTCCTTTCCACCCTTTGCCTTCCTCTTTCTCTGGCTACTCCTGCCTGTTTTTCAGTATTCAATTTCATGTCACTTCTTCTGGATGTTTCCTTAAACATTCCCCACTACTGGGTTAGGTACTCCCCTGCTGAATTCTTCTGGCACTCTTGAAACTAAAACACCTATGACACTGACCCATAATTACGTACTTACTTGTCTATGTTCCCATAGACTGGATTTATCTTGAAGGCAGGGACCACAGAGAAGTCAATCCATCAATATTTGTTGAATATATAAAGGATTTTTGTTTGTTTTTATCCCCTGTACTCAACATAATACCAGGCACATAGTCAAGTTGCAATAAATATTTGCTGAACGGATCATAGGTGCTCAAAAACATTTGTTGGATGAATGAAGTGATGGACAGATGACCAGGAAGTGCTACATATCAAAAATCTTAAATTCCAATATTCTACGTTCTGACCTCAAACACCTATCCTTCTAGCTCTCTCAGACTCTGATTTTCTGGTCACTGACCTCATAGAGATGTCCAGTCTCTTGACATCTCCATAACCACCAAGTTGTTAAATGCCTTGATGGTGTCACTTCCTTTCCTACTCAATCTGCACCCATTTTTTATTCATTTATTATTCATTTTTTATTCATTTATTCATTTTTAAAAGTCCAGCCCCATACAAATCTCTGCTGTCACGGCTACTAAGAATACCACACCAGGATAACGTCATGCCACCATGCAGATGGGGCTCCCTAAAATTTCATGGTCTTCAACCTCAGCTAGAACTTCATGATGCGGGCCAGTCCTTAACTTGGAGTCACCTCCCTTATCCATTTGTCTCCATTCTCCAATCATCTTTTCTCTCCTCAGTCCAACTACTGCACCATCACTCTCCACTGTTGGCAGATATCTTTGCCTCCTACTTGATCAGATGATTGAGATAAGAAAGCATCAACTCAACCCTCTGCCTCCACACCAACTGGCTTATTTAAATCTACATCTGTCCATTTCTCCTTCCCTTCTATATTCAGAGGATGAGGTATCTGCCCTGCAGCTTACCCTCCATTGAAGACGAATCCCTTTATCTGTGTTTTCAATCTCATCCCTTCCTTCTTCTATAGGACTCCACTTTATGTATTAACCTCTCTCTCTCATATCTTCAATTTCTCTCTTTTTTCTGGCTCTTCATCGTCAGCATATGAATATGCTAAATTTTCTCTCTTAAACTCTGTATCCTCCCCCTAGCTTTGACCTACTTTTTTCTTTTCCTTATCAGCCAAGCTCCTTGTAGCATTAGTCTCTACTTCATCATGTGCCATTCACTCAGCCAATACAACCAAACTTTTGTGGGTGATACATAGGGGCAAAAATAGACAAGATCCCATAACTTGAAATGTGATTGCCCTCAGGAATTTAAACTCTTAAATCAACATACAATGAATCAGCAAGAAGACTACAATTTCCCGGCCAAAGTGAGATGACAAGGTGACTGGTCCATAAATTAGCAATATCCATCTGAGAGAAGGTACCTTAGCCAATGGACTTTAAGTGTTTTAATTCCATAGTAAGAAATGCATTATGCTGGCACAATATCACTTAAATTCTATAATTTCCCTCATTTTGAATCCTTCTGATTGTATTTGGCTTCCTATTTAAGGTGTCCCTACAGAGACAGAATCTCTCATTTCAGGAGAATTCAGGACTAGAGATATAGATTAGTTCCCCTGCTCAGGACTGTTCCACTTCTCAAAGAGAGGACTAGATATGGTGAAACTAAAAGTTCATATCTAATGTTAAGGGTAACACATTATTTTTAGCAAAGGGAAATAAATCATTCATTTTAACAGAGGTTGTATGTCAGGACTAAAAGACGGAATGACAATGTTGTTACCATCAAAAATGTATGCGAAGACGTAGAGGTTGCATCTTTCTCAAATATCAGAAGAGCTTTCTGCATCAAGTAAATCGCTTTGGACAGCTTATTCTTCCTTATTTTATTCATTACACTTAATTCTGAAAAAGCAAACAAACATTTTACCAAAAGGGCAACATAAAAACTATCTTTAAAAATTCTTGGAAAGACAGGTTATCCCAATTTTAATTACCTGTAAAACAATCAGTGCCTCCAGATTGTTTTAGCTTTTCTGGACCTTTGGTAGATATATTTTTGCTCTCAGTTGGAGTCTGCAAAACTGAAGGAGAAGAAGGAGGAGGAGGAGGAGGAGGAGGAGATTGTCATTAAAATTAGGTTTGTGTCCAAGAAAGGAAATATTTTCTAAACATTAAAGAGTAACTATCTATCTGTAAAATTATCGCTTCCTCTATCATGTTATCTTTTTTTCATTAATAAAAATTCATACAAATCTACTATAATGCACTTTTATTGTCAAATTCTCTTTTACTTGCCATGGTATACCTAAGGACATAAGAATTTTCAAATTATAAAAATATTTCATTTTCTATTTCATCTTAAGTAAAACCATCTTGAATGTTTATAATAGGATCTAACCTACTTTTGTTCTCTTTCCTTATACATAAACTTTTCAAAGTTTATGTATGCTTCATCCATGGTCCCTGCAAGAGCTCTAGGTACCACATGAAGACCTCCACTCTCTTCTAGCTGTGGCTGATAGAATCAGAGTCTCTCTTCTCAAGATTTTCAAATAACACACAAATTATTGCCAGCTGAATTGTGAGCAGTGAGAGAGCCTGCTGTACAATTGGGACTGGTGGTCCAGGAAACAGAGGCAGCTGGATGATGGAGAAAAGGATAAAGGTATGCTGGCCCAGGGAGATGGAGAATACTATACTGACTCTTGATTTTCCAGGTCTGGTCCTCAAGAGACCTGGTAATATTTTGTTTCTCTCCTTGGAGGTATGTGAGGATACCTCTAGTAACCTTACAATAAGCCCTTTTTATTGAGGTTTAATTATTTGTGCTAATGCACATGAGTCACCATGGGATGGTGACTAATTGATGAAAAGATGCCGACAGACACCACTAAAGAATATAAGGTTTCTTTAATGGTGAAGGACAAGGGAATTTATCTGTATGGAGATAGCAACACAGAGCAGAAAATAATGCACCATTCTCTCAGTACCTGGGGTATTGTAAATGCTAATTAAGTGATAGCTCTCATGATTATAATCATTAGAGATAAGAAGGATGAGACTGCAAGAAAACTCTGAATGCCCAATGCAGATGAGTCATAGTTAATACCACTGTCATCAACAGGCAACCATTGTAAAGTTCTTAAATAATAATGACAAAAGCAGTATTTAGGGAAAATTAGTCTGGTTGCAGCATACAAGAGTGAAGAAAGACAGGATGAACATAGTGATAATCTGTGCTAAGGTGGCAGTTCAATAAAGCAGAGAAAAACATTAAGGAGACCCAGAGATATTGCAAAGGCGTAATAACTAATTCCATTTAAATTTGAGTTCAAGTCTACCATCAATATCTCTGATAAAAACTCAGAGGATCATTTGGCTTTCAAAGATTTATGGATGACAATTAGAGAATGAGCTATTTAGTAACTGAGTAAATAGACCCTACTTCTCCACTAAAAAAGATAACATAGCTACTAAGTGAAAATCGTGGGCTAGTTTTGTTAAAGAAAACCTGTCATATAAATGCCATTAACATTTTGAAATACATTTCTGATCCAAATCTTCTCAAACCAAAGAATGCTCAAGGTTATTATTCTAAGTGACCTCATGTATCAATTATCAAATTTTCTCAAATTTTTCCATTTATATAAGATGACACAGAGATATTTTAATTATTTGCTTCCCTCCACACCATGCAGTCTTTTAATAAACAGTTTTTGAAACAATGTAAATGTTTAAAATAAAATGCAAAAGGATAAAAGAATGAAGAAAAAGGAAATTTTACATAAACAGACTGCAAATACAAACAAGTGGTCCTAAGTATATATCAAATTGGTAACATAATCATACAAAAAATAGAATTAATTCAAGTAAATGTGAACACAGTTCTCTGATGTGTGATATACTCTAAGACAAAACAAACTGCAAAGAAATCCTGAATTTACTTAGTAGTTTGTTGTTAATGGTGGTATTGGTTTAATAATTCTGAAAGTACTTTGTTAATATGACAAGATAAAGCAAATGAGTTGTTACATTGATATTGTTGGGAACCAGAGTTCTCAACATGGAAGAAGGAAAATACAAAAATGAAACGTAGAACTTTGGACTTTCAAAGTGTTGGACTTTGAATTGGCAATATCAGAAAGAACTTGTAATATAAAT